TTTTTTTTTCGCATTTAGCACAATTTTCTTCACTTTTTATTGTTATTAATATTAATATCAATTATTACTATCGTCATCATCATCATTGTTATTATTATTATTACTATTAGTAGTAGTATTATTAAACAAACATTTAAAGAAATTTGCAAAAGGATAAAAACATAATTGAACCACAGTATCGCATTTCTATCTTAAAAGACCTGGCCTGAAATTTATGGATTTAAGATTTTTTTAAATCATGCTTAGGCCTATGTGTTCTATTAGGGCTATGTATAACGGGTACTGATGCATATTTACATGTTTAGAAGTATTCATTTTGAGTGATCCCAGGAAAGAATTTGTATTGGCTCAAGAATAAGCTTTAAAATTTTAACAGTGTGTACAAAGGTTGGGGGGGGGAGCCGCGGCCCCCCCTGGATACGTCCCTGCCACCCACCATGGTTGGGGCTGAGGCAAGAAAATTTATGATTAGGGCACCTCAGATTGCCGGAAATTACACTCTCAGGCTTAAAATTTAAAAATAATTTTCTTTTTTTTCCATTAAAAAAATTAGGAGGGGGGGGGGACCTTGAATCTACTGCTTCCTGTTCAAAACATTCTTTATCAAAAATAGTCATAATCACGAAAAATGGGCATGTAAAACCAGATCACGTCCTGAAAACAAAATTTATGCACCTTCCCCTCAGCAGTTACTCGATGGAGTTTAATGTCATACCTAGGGAAGGGCGCAGCTCTGCTTTGAAAGGTGTAGGGTGGGGAGACATTTCATGAGTCCACACCTACCTGAGACCAACCATGGTTGGGGCCGAGTTGCGAAAATTTGAGAACATATTACCTCTAGATGGCCAGAAAGTGATACAAAATTCATCATCATCATATCACCATTATAATAGTCAAAATAAAGCGCCAACAAATTTTTTCATGATTTTTTATCACAGATTTTCGGCAATCATAGAGATCTTAATAATATGTGTGATGTACCATAGAAAATAAAGCTTAAAAACGTTGTCTTTAACGTACGTACTTTACAACCACCTTAGCCCACCATGGTTGGGGCTGAGGTGAGACAGTTTTAGGAAATAGTACCTCTAGATCGCCGGAAATAGTAAAATTTATCATCGTTGTCACATCACCATATTATAGTCAAAATGAAGCGCCAAAAAATTTCTCATGATTTTTTATCAGGGATTTTCGGCAACCATAGAGATCTACTTAATATCCAGGACAACTTGGGCCCAAATATACTAGGCTTCAACTACTAAAATAATTATGATCGACAAATCACAATTTTCCTTTTCGCCTTCGGCACAATTTTTAATATTATTAATATTATTATCTATTATAATCACCATCGTCAAGATCATAATTATTATTAATATTTTTATTATTATTATTATAAATGCTTGAAAAAGGATAACAACCAAACTGAACCATACAATATCACATTTCTGTATTTTTAAAAGACATGTCCTGGGATTTATGGATTTAAGACGAATATAATTTTTTTTGTTAAGTTTTCTAAATCCACTCCTTGAGCAGTAGCCGTTATAAACCCGAAAATTTATTTTTTACATTATCGTGTACAGTGAACAAATGATTAATCTAATGAATATACCACAGGGTTAGCGAGTGACTTTTGTTGATAGAAGTTTGAGCCACTTGACAGTATTTTAGTATACTCTTGGTTATCCTGTCTTCCCGAGTTTGAAACTCTAGTTCAAATTATACAAAATAAATGAAAAGAAATGAAAGGAGTCAATTAGAAATTGTACAAGCATTTAAACCAATGTGCTGATGCATATTTACATATTTTAGAGATTTTAAGTGATCCCTGGATAGAATTTGTAGGCCTGTTAGCTAACAAGAACACGCCGCTAGAAGTCCCCCAGTGAGTTTTGAGACGTTGACAGCGCTGTTTCAAAATAAATCCGATAAAATGGTCTATCAAAATGTTTATAGAATACAGAACATTGGGATAATGTTTTCTCTCAAAACAGTGGCGGATTTAGGGGGTAGGATGCCAGGTAGGACGGTCACGCATGAGTGATTCCGTTCCAGCGTCGTCTAACAAAAGGCTCCCTATTATCTACTTTTGTTATGAACTTATCACCTATTCCATTTTTTGTCTATCAATATCAATACCATCATTGGATTTTTGATAATTGTAATCCAATTTCCAATTTTGTTTTGTAAGCTTACTTGCAATATCTATTCACCTATGTCATTTGCCTATTGTCATCTGCAATTAGTACAACATCGTCTGCCCATAGCATTTCCCCATCCAAACACCATCGACCCTTACATCCAATCCACTTTTACGGTGATGAACATATTGAACGAAACAGGAGACAAAACACATCCTTTTTAAACACCTCTTGTTGACCAGAAAGAGATTAGTTATTAGTGTATCCCAAACTTTTCCTGTAATATCATCTATGATTTTCCAATTAGGCCTACCTATAGAGTCATTCCATATGGTTCCAACACACTTTTTTGCCCGACCCCCTTGAAATCGCCCAATAGTTTGCCTGTTGGGGGTTCTACCTAAGATAACCCCACGGTGAAATTTTTGGCTCCGCGCCAACATTTTCTAATGAGTTAGAGCAATTTGAAATTTTCATAAGATTTGGCTAAAAAACTCACCTTCTGACAGACAACTGCTGATATCTCTCTTGAAACTCAACGTATTGGAGAAATGTTGGTACCGTTGATAGAGAAGAAGATTCTCTTTCCAATGATATGCATCTCGATGATATCTGGACCATATGGAATGACTCTATTCTTCCTTGACTTTCAAATATCATTGCATATGAAAGAATCTGTATTGTATTTGTGTGTCTGCCCTCCAACGGAAAGTTAATAGGCCTAATAGCTTTCAATTGTTTTGAGAAAAGCCATGAAGAATGCTAGACTTTCCAGAATTTAAGAAGAAAAAAGATAGTTGGACCCCTACCCCCTTGGGGAAATCCTGGCGCCGCTACTGCTTTCATGTGACTTTAATTGGAATTATGATTTTTTTCTTGTAAATATAAATAATAATAATAATAAAAACAAAAGACAAAGTGTTGTGGAAAACCATGATCGCCGACGTCCTGTAGGGACATGGTACATAGAAGAAGAAGAAGAAGAAGAAGAAGAAGAAGAAGAAGAAGAAGAAGAAGAAATTATTTAATTATTAGCAACTATAATCTTTTTGTAAATGTAATTTTTTTATATTGGAAATTTTGACATTTTTGCGTAAATTTGATTAATTTTTAGCAATTTTAAAATTTGCTTGTAAATATAACATTTTCAGTAAATTTTTGTTTGACTGCTGTTGTGTGATTTTTTGATGTTTTGAATGTGCAATAAATACATCAAGTGTAAAAATAGGTCTACCTTCCACATGTTGATAAGAGAAAAACCAAGAATGAAATTCAGAATCATCGGATAAGCCACTGAATAATTAAAGAGTAGGCTTACAATCGCCAAGTTTACGTAATTCAAAAATGTAAGTTCAGAAATTCTGTATTTTAAACACATTTACGTAGTCTGTAATACACCTATGTATAATTGCACTTATCAGTAATTAGTCGAAGTACGCCTGCCTTATTAAGCCCTTGTAATTTTTTATGTTCCCCTATCATATCATGAGTATTTTTGAATGAGGCATTATCGTAGTAATGATAGGATAGTTGACGTCCACTTGCAGATTTCTGGAATGGATAAAATCCATAGAGTGTAATGTTTCTACAAAATGTAGCCCCTATTGAAAGCATCATTAACCCCGATGAAGCATGCTTGACTTTCCAGAATCTAAGAAGAAAAAAGATAGTTCATAGAGAATAGTCCTGATATCATCTTGATTTAACCCTATTTTAAAATTCCGGAAATACAATACTTTAATTACATATCGTCTAAAGTAATATAAGCTTAAGGCCAGGATTTTTCTAAGACACAAAAAAAGCATATTTGATGAAAACTGTTAATGAGATGCAGATTTTTAAATATTTAAAGAGGAAAAGGGGTAGTTACCTACCTTCTCTCCCAGTTCTGAAATACTCAACAAGCTGTATCTCATTTACCGTTCCCATAAAACGACAGTCTACCTACGTAAATACGTTCATTTAAACAAGTGGGACAAGCGCGTATCATTGGTCCTTTGTTCAATTTCCTCTTTGGGAGAGAAATATGAAAGGATGAGAGAATATGCCTACAGTATACCTATTATTGTTATTGTTTCTTTTGAACATAAACATACTTACGATGTTGTTGTTAAGGTATTGGCAGGGAAAGCGATACGGAGAGACAGTGAGTTATTTCTTATGTATTTTGAGAGCGCATAATATTGTTTCTGGCGAGCAGCGGGACTGAACACTTTTGAGTACCATAAGATTGCACCGTCTTCAATATCTTTCAATTTCTTCTTCAGTTCAGGTTCGCATGTCTTATTCTTTAGACAGTTTGTCATAAGAACAACTAATGCACCATTTATTGAAACCAAACTAGTTTTTTTCCCGACATCATTCTCGAATCCAGTGGTTGGTGCCATGTTGTTTCTGATGACGAACTCATGTTCGTCAATTTCACGTCCACATTTACTATCTAGTAAAACGCCTGAATTTCCAACGATGGCACATGATTCAAGTGCTGGCAAACGGGGAGAGAGTTTAGGTCGGACTTTTTTTCCTTTCCAATCTTGAAACATGTGACTCGTTGTCTCACCCTCGTGTAGTAGTATAGATGTATCAGCGTTAAATGTTTTATATTTATGGACTTGATTCCTGTTGAGTTAAATATAGTAAAGTTCATTTAACAGACAGTGACCAAATCACCAGAACAAGTGGAATGAGATAATGGCAAATAGCTGTTGCTGTGCTGCTACTATCTTCATGATGCTGCTGCATGCTACTGTTGCTCTTACTGATAACATTTACAGGCCCGTAGCCAGGGGGGGGGGTTATGGTTCGGGCGAACCCCCCTTTTCTAGCGAACCCCCTCGATTTTTTGAATGAGTCCCACTCGGAAAGAATGTCTGTTTTTAACTTACCCAGCATTAAATCAAAATTTAGCACCTAATTCATTATTAATAATTGGTCACCCGTTTTTAAATTGTAGCCTGCGATACAAGCCTACATTCATAGAATATCTTGGCTTCAGAAGTTCGGAGATTTAAATTGAACTCCGGCAAACCATGACTTTACGATAGCTCCCATAAGGATGGAAAACATCGATAAAAACCTTCACTGGCCTTTGGCTGAATGTTTGTAATAAATGTACCAACCAGTAACAAAACCGGTCTCCGTCTACCTAGAGTAAAATTAATGGCGCCACCAAACGAAGATAAAGTTTTGCAACTTAATCCACCAAATGCAGCTAAAGTTTTGCGACTTAATGATTGTGGATTGTGTGGTTAGTAAATTCCATAGCCATACTCTACATAGCTCACACTAAACTATTTGCTGATGGAGCATTTTTGGGAAATTGACTCTCCTTTTTTCCATCCCAAACAAAATATTATTAACAAATCAACATGGTCCATCTTCGTCTTCATAGCGAGTCACAAAATGAGGAAGTTTGTTTTCAACAGCAGACACACACAACAGAACGGAGTGCGTCAAAATCTAAAAAATACGTACTGGCATATTGTAATACACATTCCCTTGTTGTACAGTATGCCTCATTAACATAACATACACTGAGGATCGCCAACGAATTGGGTGGTTATTCACCTTTTACGATATGGTGAACCATTTCGATTAAAATGTTATAGTGATTATATAAGAATTAGATGAGTCACTGTCAATAAAACAATTCGCGAAAGAGGAGTATTCAAAATATCGGTACTATTATTATGGGACTAATCAGATGACTGACGCCGTTCTCCATCGACAATTGATTTTATGTGCATTATTTATCTACAATTCTTATCTACAGTATATACACTAAAGAATATTTACACTCACAATTTAAACAAGAAGTTACCAACAACGACATCTAAATAGCTGTGGGAAAAACAAATTATCAGTCTGCTCTCTGAATAATGATCGTAATTGAACAATAATGATGCAGCAATACGCTTGGTCAACTTGTAAAAACTCAGAGCCTTCTGTTGTTTGCCCATAAAACAAATTTTGGAGTGTTATACAGTACGATTTCAAAACATTGTCATGGCAATGAAACAGCTATAATATTGAAAACAAACAACTTGAAACAAAATCGGTGTACGAATTCAAATAAATATTTACAATAAATTTTAATTTTCAACTTGTTATCAAATTTTACGACCAATTTTTACATACATTTGTGAGTGCTGGTGTGTAATAGACATGCAAAGCAAGCATTAGCGGTTAGCTGTATAATATCTTTGAATATCATTTTAGACTGATTCATTCATATGCTTGGTCATCTTGTAATCATTTACTAATAGGGTGCGTATCTTTACAGTTTTAGACGTAGTATCAAATTTTAGTTGCCATAGACCCGGTTTCATACACACTCGCTAAGTAAATTTCAAAGGAAACTGTTTTCCCCATTTTTCATATTGTTAAATACTCCTATGCAATACTGTAGGCCCCTGGTATAAAATTGACAGATTAATTAGACACTCTGTAAAGATCGATTATGACTTTTTATATAATATTGTAGGCCATAGGCCTAATGTGTGTGAAGTACTGACTTTGTTAATATCGAATGGGTGAAATTGCGCACAAACTTCAAACTCTTGGCCTAACATACAATGCCAGAGGAAATGATATCACGTTTTAGTCACCAAAAAGATTTTCCACGGACGAACAGAGTAGGCCTTCTAATAGTATGACCCAAAGCGAACGAGTTTCTGGTCTCGAAAATCCAGACACTTCGTTAAGGCCTATACAGTACAAAATACTGTACAGTATATAATTCATTGAAAAAGCTTTAAAATGAAGGACTTTTAAATGAAGTTTATGTATATAGGCAATAATAATATTTTGCGAATTTTGGGTTTTTAAAAGCAATCTTCGGATTTTTTAGACCCAATCTTGGGAATTTTGATTTTCCCTAGTGGTCACGCTGCATTTAGAGACAGAATTGTACCCCGACGACATCAAACTAGTGTAGGCCTGGGCTTAAGTACAGTAGGACGTACTACTAGGCCTAGGCTTTTGTTGTAAAGTTGAAGTGCATGTAGTAGGATGCGCCATAGGCCTATATTTATAAAAAAAAAAATACATTTTGTTAATTATTATCGGTTGGCCTGGGACCTAGGCAGGCAGGCCAGCATTGCCGTCGAAAGTCCTAGGATTCGACGATAACGTCAGTACATATGTTTACAAACGCCATTGATTGGAACGTGGACTTATTCTTATTAATAGGTCCATGATTGGAATGAAAATAGACGAGCTGAATTTCGTTTGTTTTATGAACGATAGTATTTATCGAACATTTTATCTATATAAAAACAAGATTAATATTGTAGAAATTGTATTTCTAAAGATTCATATATAATTCATATTTCATTTGGTAGACAATAAATATTCAGTAAGATACTAAAAACGATTATTAATTCTGAAATGTGCATCAAATCTCAGCTATTATTAATCAGTATGTATTAGGGTAAAGTCTTAAAATAATAATTTCGAATTAGGCCTAGTAAACAAATAATTGTAATTAAAGTTTAGGTTCCCATGATGTCAGATGACATACGATATGATGCTATATTTTGGGCTCTGACTTAATTTAACGATGGCCCTGTCAGTTGTAGTAATGACAATATTTGTGCTTTTTTTAGCCATGTAGTAAAAATAGTAGGGCCTACTATTATTTTCAGTGTACAAGATGAGATTCAAGAAGAAGCTCAGCTCCTACTTTATTTTGTAACAGGCAGCTCTATTTGTTTATATAGGCCTACTGGAAGATTCATTATTTAAGTTAAAACAAGACAACACTTCTTAAATTTTTTATATACATAAAGAAGCACAATACATAATTCTTTGTAAATTACTTTATAGGCCTATAATAGCTTGTTTTGTTTTATAATAATAAATGTGTTGAGTATACTGATATTGATTATACAATGAGGTTTTTTTTTTTTTTTTTTTTTTTTTTCGGTGTGATTTAAGCATGCTAATTCTCAGAAAATATTTTATATTACCACCTTTTATTACATAGGTCTTTTTCAAAACATAACTGCTTTTATAACCTTATATAGACCCATTAAACACAAAAACTGCTATGGCTTCGGGGTTCGAACCCTCCCCCCGGGGCCCTTAGGCTGTCCCCTGGACCCCACGCCCAGAGAACCCCCCTTGAAATGGCCTGGCTACGGGCCTGATTTATAATATTAATACTAATATTAATGATAATAAAGTATAATATTGATAGTATTGCAAATACTAAGCGTTTGGCGGAGAGGTATATGTTCCTGTTTCTTCTGGCTGATAGTTTGTCTCCTCGAAAAAGAGGCGGGATAAGGGTCTGGCGCTGCACTGCGAGTGTGCAGCAAACCCCCAGGAGCCAGCTAAAATTTCCAATTTCAAATATTTGAAATTACAGTTCAACAGTAATAGGACTATTACTGTTGTCTTAAGCGCTGTCGAGACTATCGAATTTTATTTGACAAAAATATGCGACATGCCTAAATTTGGTCATGATGACATCACATCATGACCATATATAGGCACATCATGACTATAATTATATGGGCATTCAATAGTGTTTTTGCCAAAGAAATTTTCATAATCTGAACATAGCTTTAAATCTTTATGTCTTACCTGAACTTCAAAAATGCAGCTGGTTTCATATGAGTGGAATATTTTTCTACAAGGCTTTTGTTTTTCGCAGCTTCTACAGAAGGCCAATTTGAAACATTTTTTACTTGAGAAATAAGCCTAATTGGACACAAAAGGGAGAGATTAATGACTATTTTATTACATTGTAAGCAGAGTAAATTATGTGATTACATTTATGTTTTTATATAAACGATAAGGACCAACAAAACATACGGGTTGGCCAGTCCCGACCGAGACCAGGCCAAGATTTTTTTGTGGAATGGGCCCAAAATAGCTGTGTGGTATTTTATGCTACATTTCAAGCTTTTAATTAATGCATGCGATACCCAAGCCATAGATTATAGTAGTTGCATTACATTTACCAACCAAAATACATTACTGATAGTGACATGATCCTCTGAATGCCACTGAATGAAATAAATTTGCCGACCGACCGACTGATTTCGTATTGTTGGCAGTTAGAATAATATTGATTTGAAATACCATGAGTCAGCTGTGCCGCCAGACCTATCTCGAGTGCAGAAAATTTTAAAAGAGATACAATTTGAAGATGTTCTAGAAAAATATATTATAGTAAAATGAAGCGAGGGAAAGCATACCTGTCCATAAGGATTAAATTCAAACAAATGTTTCTCAAAAGAGTATAAGAATAAATGTAATTTGATATTTTTGTTTAAAATGTCATAATATAATAATGAAAGAGAAAAAATTTTTATTAATTACATGTTATTAATCGCACACTTAAGGTGGCGTCTCCACCTTACCAATCAATCAAGATATTACAGCTGCAAGCTTATCATATAGATTAAGCCCCATAAAAAAATATTAGTTTATCACCCTATCAAAGAATAGAAACTGATGAGGGAGGGAGGTTTTTTTGTTGCTAACCCTGCCCCCATTTTACCGATGTTCGCAAGTAAATCAATGGAAGGACAAATATATAAAAAGTCATAAGCATGGAATCAAATTTGTAATAAAAGAAGATGTTTTTGTTGTACCAGTAAACATATTTGCAAGAAATCCTGAGCTGTTCAAGTAATTTCCCCAAAAGTGATGAGAGAGGGGGTGATAAACTAATTTTTTTATGGGGCCTTATAGAAGAAACATTTTTTCTTATGTTAATAAAACAAAAATAATATTAAAGGTCAGATATTTTTTAATGTTTTTCATGTTTTTATATTGTATTGTATTTTATGCTCCCTGTTATTTGAGTTCACGCTGTTGGGTGAAATAAAATAAATAAATGATTCAATAAAATAAATATGGAATGTTAGATTACTAAGGTCAAAGATCAAAATAAGCATTTTCAGTATTCTAAAATAAAATTTTATTTAAGGTAAATAGAAGCATTTTCAGGCATTTAAAACCATAATTAAGTCCCTACAATTTTAGAGATAAACTGTAAGTAAATTTATAAAGATTTTGATGGATATTTTAATGTAATTAAGTCAGATGTACGATATCCGTTGATCATAGGACAACATTATTCATTAGAGCCTATAGATTAGAGCATATAATCTGATATAGAGATATGTATAATTATTCAAATTCAAATCCAAATTCAAATTTATTGTCCAAAAAGGAAATTACAATTGAGAGAAAGTCATTGCTCAAAAATTACACAATTACAGTATAAAAAAAAAATCAATATAAAAATACAGAATTATAAAGTTAATAAAATACATGCAAATTAACACATTAGAAATATCAAATAAATACATTATATACAATAAAATTTACATTGTAGAAAAATTAGGATGTTAAATTACATTATTAATTGATTGCACAAAGAACCTGAAAAAACTGTTAATAAAAATTGCTGGTTATCTAGGGTCAAATTTTATGAGTTTTCCATAAAGTATAATAAACCACAGTTAACAACATGGCTGAGGCACTATTGTGGCGTGGTAATTTAAGTATCATACGTAATGCGTTATTATAACAAACTTGCAATTTCTTCAACCATAATGATTCATATTTATGCAGAGGATTTAAACAACATGCATTTCACCTTATCAGAACATTTACTTAACTTTCTAGCAAGTGAATTAGCTCTTACACTTAAGCATCGATACTGCCGCATAATATCTGTATTATCTTTAAGCTCATTGTTTATAAAGTGTCCAAGATATAATAATAATAATAATAATAATAATAATAATAATAATAAAGCATATTTAAAGCGCTCTATACATAAAGTCACAGAGCGCTAGCTAACGGTGTATAACTCAATCCTCTGAGAAAAGGTGAGTGACACTTCAGTTGTTTTTTTAAGGCATCAAGAGATTTCTCTTTACGAATTAAAATGGAAGGTCATTCCACAGAGCAAGAGCAACAACAGCAAAGGATCTTGATCCATATTTTCTGCTCGGTACTTGACCTGAGTGTCCTAGGTGAATAACTAAAAATAAGTTTGGAAATAAAAACTCACGGTATCAGAATGTGTTTCGTATTTCTCTCTCTTGCAACCGTTCCGGGTGTTCTTGTCACATTTTGAAACACATTTATATTATTAGAACGTATCACATGAGTATGCGAAAATCCGAACTTTAAATTGTAAACTACGAACATAATTACACCTCCATGAAGTAGCAGCAGATATACCCTAATTATGTTTAAAGTCGATAGCCTGCTTATAGCCATTTTCTGTATCACATTCCTAGTTAATTACCTTCTCCATTTGGCGATGTTAACCTTCAGCCAGACGGTCAGCAATTACCGGTATTCCTTGTACTATTCATTCCACGTAGCAGATCATTGGACCATTGGTACAGTATTATTCTAGGACCCCGTTTGTAGTTGTAGTTTTGATTGGCTACGAATGTAGGAAAAAATGGCCCCGGTAAGAATTATGGCACCGGTAGAAATGTCACCAGTAAAAATGGCCCCAAATGACAGGTAAGTAAAAATGGCCCAAATGATAAAATTCTGTATCAGAACTGATTTAAAAAAAATCATTATATGTATATTTTTTAAACTGAAATAATTTAGTTTTTAAATAATCTAACATCAAATAAGAATTGCCATTTATATTTTACTTTTTGCAGGAATTACATACTGTATAGATAAAAAAATATGTCATGAATAACATTTTTTAATTTTTATTTTATTTTCCATTTAAATGTTGATTAATCAATAAATCAACATAAATCATGCATTTGTTAATACTGAAATAATTTAGTTGTGGCCAATTTCATGGAAGCGGAATCACAATTTCCAGAAATTTTTAACTTCAAACTGGGTATTGCTAAACCCCGCAAAAATAAGTTGTTATAAACATCATTTTTTTAATGAGATAAAAAGAGAGTCCTACAATCATTAATAAAGGGTTTGGATGAGGTTCAGGGTGTGTTTTTGGAGGTTTGCGGTGTATTTTCAGGTATTTTTCACACACAAAAAAAAAATTTAAAAATCAGCATTTTAACCAAAAAATAGGTTCTTATAAATTTATTTAATTTTCTTATTGATATATCAAGTGAGTCAATCGCAATTACATGGTTTGGTTTTCTACAGTGTGTTTTTTTGGAGGTTTGTGGGGCTTAGCAACCCTACCATAATACCTTACCCTCCTAATTACATGCTATTTTGATGATACATGGTGTATCAACAAACACAATACAAAATAAGAAACACATTCGTTGTACCGTAAGAATAATTGACAGAACAAAAGAATTCGGTGCTGTGAAAAGTTACTTCCCCAGTAGCACTTGTATTGATTATGAAAGATCATTGTATTTGTGAATTTGATGTGAATAGACTTAAGCCAGAGGTAGATGATAACGCTAGATTATTCTGGCATATTTTGATGAAACAGGTACAAAGCAAGAGGTGGGATAGGTACAGAACGAAATGCTAACCGTTGATCATCAAATGTAGCCAACAACCCCTCTTTTAAAAACAAACTTGATCGAATTGTTTGAATGTTGTCTTCAATAATAAATCATTGCATTTGTATTGCATTTGTTGATATGAAATCGAGTGTTTGACCTCTAAAATACTGAAAAGATCCTGACGACCAGCAGACTTCACCCCTCGCCGCGGCCTTGGTGCGGTGTACGGTAAAAATGCCTTCCCCCCACCCCCGATAAAATTTACTAAAAAATATTCTACCTATTCAAATGCTGCAAAATTTCAGAAATTGAATCAATAATCAACATAAATCATGCATTTTATTAAAACTAAAATAATTTAGTTTAAAAAAAAAATCTATGTCGAATAATTTTCCATGTATAGGGCCTATAATTTTTTACATGAATGATATAAAAATTAAGGAAATAGTCAAATGCTGTAGATTGAAAAAAATTAGTAATAAATAACATTATTATAGCCTGACAAAGTCATGTTGATAACATCAACGAAAGTTCGCAGTAAGTTTACATCAAATTGTACTTGGTTTATAATTGATGAAATAGTTCTACTTTTATTAACATTATTTTTAATTGCAACCCTTTGCATTACAAAAAAAAATCAGTAATTCAAATCATTAAAAAAATATATAGGCCCTAAATCAATCAATCAACGTAATATTCGTTTGTTATTTTAAATAAATCAATTTAATCAAGCAATAGGCCTAATTTGCGTTTTTTAAACAAATAATTTTTTGTTTTCAAACAGGCTAAACTGTCAAGTGAGTTATGGGATCTTGGTTATATTTTATCTTACTGTATGTGTAAATTCCAGATAAAAAAGCACAGCCTTTTGGCTGTCTGTTTGTATTTTTATAATTTTTATGAATAAAGACCTTGAACAAAACTAAAATGTTACTAAATCATTCAGTTATATTTAACTTACTGTAGTAATATAACAGAAATAAATAAGATTATTTAAGTGGATACGTTCATTAGTTATTAAAAAATGACCTCAAATTGTACTTGGTTTATAATTGATGAAATAGTTCTACTTTTATTAACATTATTTTTAATTGCAACCCTTTGCATTACAAAAAAAATCAGTAATTCAAATAATTTAAAAAAATATATAGGCCCTAATTCAATCAATCAACGTAATATTCGTTTGTTATTTTAAATAAATCAATTTAATCAAGCAATAGGCCTAATTTGCGTTTTTTTAAACAAATATTTTTTTGTTTTCAAACAGGCTAAACTGTCAAGTGAGTTATGGGATCTTGGTTATATTTTATCTTACTGTATGTGTAAATTCCAGATAAAAAAGCACAGCCTTTTGGCTGTCTGTTTGTATTTTTATAATTTTTATGAATAAAGACCTTGAACAAAACTAAAATGTTACTAAATCATTCAGTTATATTTAACTTACTGTAGTAATATAACAGAAATAAATAAGATTAATTAAGTGGATACGTTCATTAGTTAATTAAAAAATGACCTGTTATAATTAAACTAATAAATAAAAAAAGTGAAGGACTAAATTATAGCACATAAATTACAAAAACAAACAAAATAACGAACATTTTTAAATTGCAATTTTTAAAATATACAATTTAGTAATTCGAATAATTTGTTATAATTCATTTTTTAAATATCCAATTTCAAATAAGTTGCCATTTATATTACTTTTTGCAGGAATTAGGTAAATAACATTTTTTTTTAATTGCAAAATGTTTTCATTATGTTAAATATGTGATTAAAATATCTATTGTCATCAAAATTATACTATAGCAGCTACTGTATTCTGTTTGTGCATTGATAATGTATTATTTAAGCCAGAGACCATGATAATAAACGCTTCATTCCAAGAAAAAAAAACATAATGAGATGTGATTAAAATATCTATAAATGTCATCAAAATTATACTATAGTGACTACTGCTAGTCGCCTGAGCCATTTTTAGGATTTTGAGGTTCTAATATATTATATTTCACAGAGACATGGTGTATCAACAAACACAATACAAAATACGAAACACATTCGTTGTACCGTAAGAATAATTGACAGAACAAAAGAATTCGGTGCTGTGAAAAGTTACTTCCCCAGTAGCACTTGTATTGATTATGAAAGATCATTGTATTTGTGAATTTGATGTGAATAGACTTAAGCCAGAGGTAGATGATAACGCTAGATTATTCTGGCATATTTTGATGGAACAGGTACAAAGCAAGAGGTGGGATAGGTACAGAACGAAATGCTAACCGTTGATCATCAAAAGTAGCCAACAACCACTCTTTTAAAAACAAACTTGATCGAATTGTTTGAATGTTGTTTTCAATAAAAAAATCATTGCATTTGTAATGCATTTGTTGATATGAAATCGAGTGTTTGACCTCTAAAATACTGAAAAGATCCTGACGACCAGCAGACTTCACCCCTCGCCGCGGCCTTGGTGCGGTGTACGGTAAAAATGCCTTCCCCCACCCCGATAAAATTTACTAAAAAATATTCTACCTATTTAAATGCTGCAAAATTGCAGAAATTGAATCAATAAATCAACATCATGCATTTTTTAAAACTAAAATAATTTAGTTTAAAAAAAAATCTATATCGAATAATTTTCCATGTATAGGGCCTATAATTTTTTACATGAATGATATAAAAATTAAGGAAATAGTCAAATGCTGTAGATTGAAAAAAATTAGTAATACATAACATTATTATAGCCTGACAAAGTCATGTTGATAACATCAACGAAAGTTCGCAGTAAGTTTACATCAAATTGTACTTGGTTTCTAATTGATGAAATAGTTCTACTTTTATTAACATTATTTTTAATTGCAACCCTTTGCATTACAAAAAAAATCAGTAATTCAAATCATTTAAAAAAAATATATAGGCCCTAATTCAATCAACGTAATATTCGTTTGTTATTTTAAATAAAATAATTTAATCAAGCAATAGGCCTAATTTGCGTTTTTTAAACAAATAATTTTTTGTTTTCAAACAGGCTAAACTGTCAAGTGAGTTATGGGATCTTGGTTATATTTTATCTTACTGTATGTGTAAATTCCAGATAAAAAAGCACAGCCTTTTGGCTGTCTGTTTGTATTTTTATAATTTTTATGAATAAAGACCTTGAACAAAACTAAAATGTTACTAAATCATTCAGTTATATTTAACTTACTGTAGTAATATAACAGAAATAAATAAGATTATTTAAGTGGATACGTTCATTAGTTATTAAAAAATGACCTATAATTAACTATGACTATTAACTAATGACTATTATAATTAAACTAATAAATAAAGAAAAGTGAAGGACTAAACTATAGCACATAAATTACAAAAACAAACAAAATAACGAACATTTTTAAATTGCAATTTTTAAAATATACAATTTAGTAATTCGAATAATTTGTTATAATTCATTTTTTAAAATATCCAATTCCAAATAAGTTGCCATTTATATTACTTTTTGCAGGAATTAGGTAAATAACATTTTTTTTAATTGCAAAATGTTTTCATTATGTTAAATATGTGATTAAAATATCTATTGTCATCAAAATTATACTATAGCAGCTACTGTATTCTGTTTGTGCATTGATAATGTATTATTTAAGCCAGAGACCATGATAATAAACGCTTCATTCCAAGAAAAAAAAAACATAATGAGATGTGATTAAAATATCTATTGTCATCAAAATTATACTATAGTGGCTACTGTATTCTGTTTGTGCATTGATAATGTATTATTTAAGCCAGAGACCATGATAATAAACGCTTCTCATTCCAAGAAAAAAAAAACATATGAGAGC